TGAATCAGTCAAGTAAAAATCACAGAAAATTTTTAAAAATAGAGAAAAATGACAACACACTGGTTCAAAATCTCTGGAATGCAACAAAAGCTGTTCTAAAAGGGACGCTTATAGCAATACAGGCTTACGTAAAAAAAAAAAAAAATAAAAAAAAGCAAATCTCAAACAACTTAACTTTACACCTAGAATGGCTAGACACATAAAAACAATGCCCAAAGTCAGAGGAAGAGGAATGATAAATATCAGAGCAGAAAGGAACGAAATTGAGATTTGAAAAATAGAAAAGATCACTAAAACCAGGAACAAACTCCTTGAAAACAAACAAAATTGATAAAGTCTTAGCCAGATTCATCAAGAAAGATAGGACTCATGCAATTAAAATGAGAAATACCTGACCCTACAAAAATACAGAGGATTATAAGAGATTATGAAAAATTATATGCCAACAAATTAGACAACCTAGGAGAAATGGATAAATCCTAGAAACACAATCTTCCAAAACTGAATCATGAAGAGAAAATTTGAATTGACCAATTACTACTAATAAAATTGAATCAGCAACAACAAAAAAACAACAACAAACAAAATTCAAGACATGTAAATACTACCAAACATTTAAAGAAGACTCAATACACATTCTTCCCAAACTATATAAACAAACAAACAAACAAACAAAAAAAAAACAGAAAAAGAGGGAAAACTTCCGAATTCATTCTACAAGGCCAGCATTACCCTGATACTAAAACCAGACAAAGACACTACAAAAAGAAGAAACCACAGGCCAGTATCTCTGATGAACAAAGATATAAAAATACTTTAAAAAAATTCGACGCATTAAAAAAAAATCATTCAGCACAATCAAGAAGGATTGGTTCAATACTCACCAATCAATGTGATATTTCACATTAGTAACAGAAAAGATAAAAACGGTATGAATACCACAATAAGATGCAAAAAAGCATTTGACAAAATACAACATACTTTTATGATAAAATCTCTCAATGAAGTGGTTTGAAAGGAAATATATCTCAACATATTGAAGGCCATATATGACAAACTGACAAATAGCACCATACTCAATGGTGAAAAACAGAGCTCTTCACCTAAGATCAGAAACAAGGTAAGGATGTCCATTCCCACCACTTTTATTCAACATAGTACTGGAAGTCCTAACTATAGGAACGAGACAGGAAAAAGAAATAAACATCATCCAAAATAGTAAGGATGCAGTAAACTGTCACTCTTTGCAGATGACATAAAACTACATATAGAACACCTTAAAGGCTCCACCAAAAAACTATTAGAACTGATCAATGAATTCAGGAAAGTTGCAGGATACAAAATTAGTATTACAGAAATCTCTTGCATTTCTATATACTGAGTAGCAGAAGCAGAAATTAAGAAAACAATAACATTTACAATTACACCCCCCAAAATTAAATACTTAGGAAAAAACTTAAGAAGGTCAAAGACCAGGGTGCCTGGGTGTCTCAGTGGGTTAAAGCCTCTCCCTTCAGCTCAGGTCATGATCCAGTGTCCTGGGATCGAGCCCCACACTGGGCTCTCCGCTCAGCAGAGAGCCTGCCTCCCCCTCTTTCTCTGCCTGCCTCTCTGCCTACTTGTGATCTCTGTCAAATAAATAAAATCTTAAAAAAAAAAGAAAAAAAAGAAGAAGAAGATGAAAGACCTGGCACAAAAATAGACACATAGATCAATGGAAAGACTAAAGAGAAATAAACCCACGCTTATGAGGTCAATTAATCTATGATGAAGAAGGCAGGAATAAATAATGGGGAAAAGACAGTATTTTCAATAAATTATGCTGGGGAGACTGGACAGCTCCATGCAAAACAATGAAACTGGACCACTTTCTTACACCATACTCAAAAATAAATTCATATTGGATTAAAGACCCAAATGAGACCTGAAACCACAAAAATCCTGGAAGAAACAACAGGTAGTAATCTCTTTGATATCAGCCTTAGTAACATGTTTCTGAATGTATCACCTCAGGCAAGAAAAACAAAAACAAACTACTGGGACGACACCAAAGAAAAAGCTTTTTTTTTTTTTTTTTAAAGATTTTATTTATTTATTTGACAGAGAGAAATCACAAGTAGGCAGAGAGGCAGGCAGAGAGAGAGGAGGAAGCAGGCTCCCTGCTGAGCAGAAAGCCCGATGTGGGGCTCGAACCCAGGACCTGGGATCATGACCTGAGCCGAAGGCAGCGGCTTAACCCACTGAGCCACCCAAGCGCCCCAGAAAAAGCTTTTGCATTGAAAGAAACCATCAACAAAATGAAAAGGAAACTGATAAATGATATATTCGTTAAGAAGTTAATATCCAAAATACATAAAGAACTTACACAACTGAAGACCAAAAAAAAACCAAACAAACAAAAATTCAAATAAAAAATGGGCAAGGGGTGTACCCGGGTGGCTCAGTTGGTAAAGCATCTGACTCTTGATTTCAGCTCAGGTCATGATCTCAGGATTGTGATATCAAGCCCCACCTGAGGCTCTGTGCTAGGTGTGGAGCCTGCTTAAGATTCTCTCTCTCCCCTTGCCTCTGCACTCCTACATCCCTTTCTCATCAAAAAAAAAAAAAAAAAAAAAAAAGGGCAGAGGACCTGAATAGACAGTTTTCTCTAGAAGACAAACAGATGGCAAAAAAACACATCAAAAGAAGCTCAACATCACTAATCATCAGGGAAATGCAAATCAAAACCACAATGAGATACCAGCCTACACCTGTCAGAATGACCAGAATCAAAAAACAAGAAATAACAAGTGTTGGTGAGGATGCAGGGGCGGAAAAAGTCACTACTGGTCAGAATGCAAACTGGTGTGGCTACTGCGGAAAACAGTATGGCAGCTCCTCAAAAAATTAAAAATAGAAATATCATATGACTCTGTAATTCCACTACTGGGTACTTACCCAAAGAATAAAAAAACATTAATTCGAAAAGGTGTATGCACCCCTCTGTTGATTGCACTGTTATGTACAGAATCCATGATATGAAAGCAATGTAAGTGTCCACACATACACAACGGAATACTATGCAGCCATAAAAGGGATGAAATCTTGACATTTGTAACAACATGGATTGACCTGGAGGGTATTAAGTGAGATGAACCAGACAGAGAAAGACAAGTAAATTATGATGTCAATTTATGTGGAATCTAAAAAAACAAAAAAACAAACTGGTTGTTGTGGGGGTGGGGGAGGTTAAACGGATAGAGATTTAAGCCAAACTTCAATTATAAAATAAGTTGTGGAGATGAACAGTATAGCATAGGGATTACAGTCAATAGTACTGTAGTAATATATGATGACAGATGGTGACTATACTCATAGTAAACACTGAACAATGTACAGAAGTGTTGAATCAATTTGTACACCTGAAACTAATAAAACATTGTATGTTAATTATACTTCAATAAAAGAAAAAGATTCGAGCAGTCCAGTTTATGAGGAAAAAGGCATCCTTAACATTTACATCTTAATTTAATTTGACCATTTTTTAATGTTTAAACAGAATTTTAATTTTGGGATTTGGGGGGATATACAATAAATTTATAAAAATGAATAAGTTCAATAAAATTAGACCTATGGAAAAAAGTTTTACCTTCAACTTATAAACAATCAGCTTTTAACCACATTCGACAAACTATCTGGATCAAGAACTGAAGAATGTAGAGAAAGACAAATATTGTATGATTTTACTTATATGTAGACTCTAAAACACAAAACAAAAAATAAACAAAAATCAGAAACAGATCCATACAGAGAACAACCGATGGATGCCAGAAGGCAGGGAAGTGGGGAGGTGGGCAAACGAGGGAAGAGTAGGAGATGCAGAATTCCGGTTATGGAGTAACTAAGTCATGGTGATAAAGGGTACAGCATAGGGAACATAGTCAATGGTATGAAATGTTGTTGTATGGTGACAGATGGTGCTGCACCTGGGGTGAGCACCACATGAAGTACAGACTTATTGAATCACTATGTTGTATATGTGACGCTAATGTAATGGTGCAAGCCAAATGAATATTAGTCAAAAAAAGATGAAAGAATGCATGTTCTTATTTACAACACACTGAATTATACAAAAACAAATAAGCAAATACATCAATGAGTTATGTGTTAATACAATTCAATCCAGCGAAAGTACAGAAATGTCTACTAAGTATTATGCTCTATCATAGATACTGGTTGACCTAATGAAATATAAGATGCAATACATGTTAGCTAAGATAAAAGACTTTAGAGGTACCTGGGTGACTCAGTTGGTTAAGCAACTGCCTTCGGCTGAGGTCATGATCCCAGGGTCCTGGGATCCAGCCCCAAGTGGGAGTCCCTATTCAGCAGGGAGCCTGCATCTCCATCTTCCTCTGCCCCTCCCCCTGCTCATTCTCTCTCTCAAATAAATAAAATCTTAAGGAAAAAAAAAAAAAAATCACAGACTGGTCAAATCCTGACTCTGATTCCCAGGTCTACCTCTTAAAGCTAGCCACATCTTTTGTAGCAAATTAATTCACTTAGCTTCTGCAATACGGAAATAGTGTTAATCCATATAAGATTTGAGTGAGATCATATATACAAAATGTTTAACTGCTTAGCATATAGTGTATGTTTAAAAATTGATAGCCATTATTAAAAGTCATACAGTCCTTGACCTGGAGAAGTTCACAGCCCGTGAACAAGAAGAGCAACTGAAAGATACCTGTATCATACCAGACAAAGTATCAACACTCTGAATATAAAAGGGTTATTAAAAAATCAGTTTCAAAAAAAAGTACATAGGACTTAAAAGGGGGGGGAGGGATGAAAAGGTAACTCCCCAAAGAAAAAAATATACGTGATCAAATGAAAAATATTCAACCTCCTAAGTTTAGACACTACTCATCTAATTGCAAGACTTAAGGGTAAGAGAGAGAGAAGAAAGGAGCAAAGCCTCAAGAATTAAAGGATGGTGAGAAAAATGAAGTAGACTGGATGGGGGGTGTCTACTCTCACCAGAGCAGCTTTTCCTTCAAAGCTGAGGTAGCTCAGTTCCATAGCTTGGCTTCTCTTATAACACTCACATTATTAGTCACTGCTTCTCACATTATTAGTCACTGCTTGATTTTAGAACCTCACTGAAGAGGTCAGCATTCTCTAGGTCATATAGGACCATGATACATGCCCTTAATCCATTCCAGAATAATCCAGAGTGGTTTTGTTCTGATTTGGCGCCAATGACTTTGTCCAATAAGTTTCAATGGTCCCTGGTTAGTGTGGCTTTACCCATTTTTACAATTTTTATTTCCTTCTTTGTATTTTTCCATATTACCTATAATAATATGTATTACTTTTCCAATCAGAAAGTCATAATTTTTGTAATCATAATCATTTTTATTTCATATGTAAAAATAAATGGTCAGAGAGCAATCCTTTCACTTCATGATGTGCACAGATCAATGAAAAGCACACTAGCCTAATTAATACTTCAACTATGTGTCAGGTCTATGTTGGGAATCTCTGACACAAAGATAAGAGTATCCAGTACACAAGGTCACAGCTCTCATCTTGATAGTAATGAAGTATTTGATCAAGACCTTCTTAGCCTCTTAAAGACTTAATAAATCAATAAATATGGGTATGCAGTAGACAACTTTTTTTTTTTAATTTTATTTATTTATTTGACAGACAGAGATCACAAGTAGGCAGAGAGGCAGGCAGAGAGAGAGGAGGGGAAGCAGGCTCCCTGCCGAGCAGAGAGCCCGATGTGGGGCTCGATCCCAGAACCCTGGGATCATGACCTGAGCTGAAGGCAGAGGCTTTAACCCACTGAGCCACCCAGGCGCCTAAGCAGTAGACAACTTCTAAGGTGACTTCCAATTCTAAAAGTCAAGAATTCTAAATATAACTGTCTGAAAATCCATAAAGTCGATAGTTCTGTCCACTTAAAAGTACCTATCTTTCAAGACGCCAATTACTATAATGTACTCCCATTTAGTCCCAATTCATGTGTATAAACAGATTTTCTCATTCAAATTATATATAAGTATCTATCCATTACATATGAACAATTTATATGATTCAACATAGTCATTCCCTCTTTAATCATACCAGAATCAAACTATTTAGACAATATTTTATTCTCTATCCCCATGTATTCAAGGACAGAAGTCAATGATGCATTACACACCTACCATTATTTTATAAAATAAAGGGGAAAAAAATCAGTCTTTCGAAACTTTTGAGTTTTTGGAATAGGTTAGGAATCACAAATTTCTAGAACAGCAAGCAATTATATAGCTATAACATGGCAAAGAGCCAAAAATCATACCCAGAACACTGTAGGTATTAATTTACTAATCAAAGAGAAAATGCCAGCTTTTTCTTTTCTTTTTTTCTTTTTGCACATATACATAATACCATGATGAGAAATAGAGGAAGGAAGACATAAGACAGGGGAAAAAAACTAAAGAAGACAAAAATAAGCAGCAAAAAACAAAAGCAAAAGCAAAAACAACCAAAAAAACCCATCAACACACACAAAATAGGCTTAGGATCCCAAAAGCAATAATCTGTCTTACAGGGAAGAAATGTATCCCAGTAACCAATAATGATGCAGAAACCTAACCCCTAAGCCTTCCTGTAGTAGGAGAAAGGAGAAGACAGGAAGCTAAGCAACCTCCTGTCCTTAAAACATTAAAAAATAAAAGTGAAAAGGACATGTAGGTGACTCAGCTGGATAAGCATCTGCCCTCCACTCAGGTCATGATCCCTGGACCCTGGGATCTGGAACTGAGCCCAGCACCGGGCTCCCTGCTCATCTGGGAGCCTGCTTCTCCATCTCCCTCTGCCACTTCCCCCTGCTCCTGCTCTCTCTCTCTCAAATAAATAAATAAAATCTTAAAAAATAAATCAATAAAAAGGAAAGGAAGAGAACTCCTGCAATATCTAGAAAATATAAAACAAGGTGGGAAAAGGACATTCTACTCTACCTGCTCCAAAGACATGCGGCAAGGTACCATGTTGAGGCATATCAAACACACTACCTTTCAAGTCTGTGTATTTCCACATGGGGCAGAACTGTAACAGAAAAAAAGGTACAGACCAAACACCAGGAACTGGAAAACTACCTCTGTAACATTACGGGAACAGGAAGCACAAAGCTAATAGGGGTATGTTCTTGGGTGTGGAGTCCAATCCTCCTGGGTGAAAAGCAAAGGTCAGAAGAGTAACAAGCATTTATTAATCTTGAGAAGAATAAGAAAAAAAAAAAAATAGACTTCTCAACATGATTTGAAAAGAGCAAGCATGAAGATATTAAGAGATCAATCTAATCTTAGATTGACCTAAGACACTTACTGACATTCTCTGCAGTGAAATCAGAATACCTGGACTATTCTGTATATGGGCTTCTCAATGGAAAGATCTCTAAGTGGGATACCTGCACTGATTCATTGAAAATTTCTGAAAAAAACACCACTGAAAAGACTTCTAAGCAAGCAGTCTGGTCAGTGTGATAGATTTGGAATTTAAACCTTGAGATCATGAACCAATAGAAGTCTGTCTGGTCCAAGGTCTACATGCCTTACAAAAAAACTAAAAGGTTTATTTTATTTTCTGACTAGTGTTACAATGCTAAAGCACAGCCTATTCTGGCAATGCTTGCCCACTTTTATCAGTGGAGGATGTACATGAATCAAGTACCCTGACATCTGAGCACATAAAGGTCAAGTTGGTTATTATAGTTCATGTTTAATGAATAAAATAAACCATCAGAAAAGTAGGTTTTATCATTACTCTAAATACCTTAAATGGTGTCTTTTTTTAAAGATGCATACTCAGTGAACAGGGAGGTAGATAAAGTTGTTCTTACTAGCTCCATGACTAGACAATGAACCTTTAGAGAAAAAAAAATCACTTATCTGGTTTCCACAGTATTAACTGTCCACTGCTGAACTGTCTGTATGCTTAAGTCTAAACTCTTTCCAAAACATGCTAGTACTGGAGAAATGGGAATTCTCTTACACTATTGGTGGGAATGCAAGCTAGTACGGCCACTCTGGAAAACAGTATGGAGGTTCTTCAAAAAGTTGAAAATAGAGCTACCCTATGACCTAGCAATTACACTACTAGGTATTTACCCCAAAGATACAATTGCAGAGATCGGAAAGGGCACCTGCATCCCCAATGTTTATAGCAGCAATGTCCACAATAGCCAAACTATGGAAAGAACCCAGATGTCCATCAACAGATGAATGGATAAAGAAAAGGTGGTATTTATATACCAGAATACTACTCAGCCATTAAAAAGAATGAAATCTTGCCATCTGCGATGAAGCAGATTGAACTAGAAGGTATTATGCTAAATGAAGTCAGTCAGAGAAAGACAGTTATATGACTTCACTTATATGTAGAATTTAAGAAAAAAAACAGAAGCATAGGGGAAGGGAGGGAAAAATTAAACAAGATAAAAATCAGAGAGGGAGACAAACCATATGGGACTCTTAATCATAGGAAACAAACAGAGCTGCTGGAGGGGTGGGGATAAGGGAATGGGTAACTGGGTGATGTAATAGCACTGGGTATTATGTAAAACTGATGGATCATGAACTCTACCTCTGCAACTAGTAATACACTTTATGTTAACTGATAAAAAAAAAAGTAAAAAGCAAAACCAAAACCAGAACAATGCTAATTCCATGGGGAATGCTAGATCTTTAAATGCATTAAATTGAAGTCTATTCAGTGTAGAAAATGCTAATAAAATCTTTCTTTTATAAAAAACATAGTGGCCTATCACAAAGCTTCAAATTCTGCCATTAATATTTTGATCTTGCTATTTTTCTAGGATTTCTTATGAATCTACATGGGAAATGTTCAGATTTTTTTTTTTTTTTTTTTAATTATAAAAAGAAAACAGGGGCATCTGGGTGGCTCAGTCCATTAAGCATCTGCCTTCAGCTCAGTTCATGATCCCAGAATCCTGGGATGGAGCCCCACATCAGGCTCCCTGCTCAGCAGGGAGTCTCCTTCTCCCTCTCCCTCTGCTCCTCCCTCATCCTCCCACCCCCTACTCATGTTCTCTTTCAAATAAGTAAAATCTTGCGCGCCTGGGTGGCTCAGTTGGTTAAGCGACTGCCTTTGGCTCAGGTCATGATACTGGAGTCCCCGGATCGAGTTCCACATCCAGCTCCCTGCTCAAAACGGCGTCTGCTTCTCCCTCTGACCCTGTCCCGTCTCATGCGCTCTCTCTTGTTCTCATGGTCTCGCTCTCAAGTAAATAAATAAAATCTTTAAAAAAAAAAAAATAAAATCTTAAAATTAAAAAAAAAAATCCCTTCTGAGGGGGGAAAACATGTTAATACCTATATACATACTTTTTTACAGTCTACAAAGAAACTATGTAGAAGTACAAGCTAAGAAGTTAGTTCCTATGGTCCACTGCTGTATAGAAGTTACACAAAATTTTCAAATGGTGGTGACAAGTTAAGGAAGCTTTATAGCATCTGTGAAGATCACAATGTTCTAGAGGCAAGGAAATCATCTGAGAGAAGACTAGTGTAGTCTTTGACTTATAAATTGATTTTAAGAAGCTCTGTCAAGTTATATTGTACAGAAAGTCCTACATATGTTTTGGTCGATCTTTAAAAAAAAGAGAAAAGATCAAATAAGCAAAACGCAATTTTTATTTTTATTTTTTTTAAGGAGGTAAATTTCTGGGCCATAGGTATGACTGGTATATTTGGACCTTTGTTCCACATCATCTTTTTCTGTAGCTATACCAGCCAGTAATATACACAATGATAATTTGAGCTTGGGGTCTCCCCCAGAAAGCACTGTAAGACAGAACTTATGTGCAGACAGTCCCTAAGATTGCTGCCAATAACCTGAGAGGTAGTGGGTAATGGAAAGAGTGAAACAGAGGACAGAAAGCCAAAATAAGAGTGTGCTGTCAAGCTAGTCACTGTGGTCAATGGTGACTCTCTGGGAAGTTATACAGAAAGCT